AGCCTGAATAAGAAATATCAACAAGCTTTTTAAATGAATCTAAATGAATTAATAACAAAGTTTATGTGAAAAAATAAACAGTTCATAGGAAAAGAACAGCCAGGAAAATACTGAAAAAGAAAAGCTAAAAATCAAAGGGGGAACTAGCCGTATCCAGCATTAAAATATACTAGAAAGTTTCTTTAAGTGTGGTACTGGTGCATAAATAGACAAGCAGATCAGTGGAATATATATAAAAAGTCAAGAAAAAGACCCAGGTACTACTGGAATTTAGTATATTATACAATAAAAGGGGCATCACAAATAACCAGGACGAAGATGAACTTTTTAATAAATGGTGATGTAACAGCCAACTGGGGGGAAAAAGGGTCCATACCTCCTATCACACAAAAGAATAAATCTAGGGGGTTAAAGAAGGATCAATGGTGATGGAAAGAAATTTGACTGGGGATGGTGAACATACTATATGATATACAGATGATGTATTATGGAATTGTACCCCTGAAAACTGCAGAATTTTGTTAACCAATGTCATTCAAAAAAAGTCAGTAAAAAAAAGAGTAAATCCAAATACATAAAAGACCTAAATGTAAAAAAAAATCAAACATGTAGAAAACACATCAGTATATTCCTCTACATCATCTGGAATGTAAGAAAAGAATTTCTCTATGTTCTGAATATAAGGAAAAATGAGACAAAAGAATGATAAATATGACCACATACAACAAAAAAATCTTTTGTATGTCGAACACAATAAACAAAGTCAGAAGACAACTGAAAAACTAAGAGAAAATATTTGCTATATGTACATGTATCACAGCTAAGGGACTCTTAGTCTACTATCTAGTAACTCTTAAACCTTGAAGAAAAAAAGAGACAGAAAACCCAAAAGACATGAAGAAAAAGTTCACACACGAAAAAGAATAATGGTCTTCAAACATACGAAAAGATGGTTAACTTTATTTATAAGAAAAAGAAATAAAAACTAAAACTACACAAAAATATAATTTCTTCTCAGGGGAAGTGGTGGCGGGAAGGTGGAACAAACAAAGAAAAAGAAAGAAAAAATATATCATTTTTCACCTAATATTTAAAAGTGACGACATATTCTATTGGTGAAGCGGTAAGGAAACGGGCCTCTCATACATTACTGACAGGAATCTGGCAATTTCTAACAAAACAACAAGCATTTACTTTTTTAAAAATTGATTTTAGAGAGAGGAAGGGGGTAAGAGGGTGAAAGAGAAACACTGATTTGTCATTCATTCCACTTATATATGCATTCATCTGTTGCTTTTTTTTTTTTTTTAATCATAACCCATGGATATGTTTTTACTGATTTTAGAGAGAGGCAGGAAGGAAGGACAGAAGAGACAGGGAGGGAGGGAGAGAGAGAGAGAAAGAGAGGCAGAGAAAGTCAGAGAAACAGCGATGTGAGAGAGAAACATATCAGTTGCCTTCCAGACACACTCCCTGACCGGGGACTGAAACCCATAACCTTTCAGTATAAGGGATGATGCTCCAACCAACTGAGCCACCAAGCCAGGGCAAACTGGTTGCTTCTCGTATGTGCCCTGACAGGAGACTGAACCACAACCTTGCCATATAGAGACAACACTCTAACCAGCTGAGCCACGGGGCCAGGGCCAAATATTTACCTTTTGATTCAGCAATCCTACTTTGAGAAGTTTACTATGAACGTCCAACCACACAAAAGTAGTCATGCACAAGGTTTATAAGAGCAGCCTTTTAGTAAGTGCAAAATATTGGTAGTATTATTAATGTCCACACCTAGGAGATGGGCTTAAAAAAAATCATACATCCACACAATGAAGTACTAAGCAACTATAAAAAATGAGTAAGATTGCTATTAATCGATAGTGATTTCCAAGATAGATTAGTAAACCAAGAAAAAAAAAAGTGTAAGAGAATCTACTGTATGCCTTTGATATAACTGCTACTTTATTTACAAACAAAGGAAAGCTAAACCACCAAAATAATAGGCTTGGTTACCTGGGTGGTGGTTAGGAACAAGACAGAAGGGAGAAAGGCGGGTGATACTTCTGTGTACACCTTTCAGTATAGTGCTGTCTTTAGCAATAACAATAAAAATTTAAAAACTTTGGGGAAATTAAAAAACTTAAAATTAAATATAAACAGAAATGAATGAACTCTTTGAAGAAACTAACCATAATACCTACCCCCAGAATAAAAATAAAAAGAACCATAAAAATATTAAACTCTATAAGTTTGTTCGTCACAGAGGTGTACATCAGTAATTCTGAAACTACCTTTTGTGTACTCTACAACTGAGGAAATAAGTAAACATACCACATATAATAGTAGTTTTCTCACTGTTGCAAAAGGGAGTGACACATTACGTGTCACAGTTTAAGTGGACCAAATAAATTGATGTATTGAAAAGCATGATCTCCAAACTACTCTGTAACTTACCCATGGTAACCGCGTCAAACTTCACACACACGACTCCCTTCCGACTGCCATCCCCCAGAACATGCCTCTTCTTTCAATTATTTTTAGCACCCATAACAACCAAGTTTTCTATAGTTGACTTTCCATGACCGAAACCACTTGTTTCTATTAAAAAGCACAGAGATGATTTACAACAAAACTTCAGATTTAAAGTGATAAAGTACTTTTCCTATGGAAAATTCATTACTTTCATCTTCTCTGTTTAAAGTGAAGCCTGGGTTAACTAAATCATTCAAAGAATTAGTTATTCAATTTTTCTTGTTAATCCAAGATTTAGAAACTCAGTTTAAACATTTTGAAAAATAAATTCCTAAAATATATTTTCCAAAATGATATAGGATATAGGACATGGATAATGTATTTTCTAAAAAATTAGGACTTTTCAATGTTTCCAGGCTATTTAGCTATTGTAGTTAAATGTAGAAGTGCTGCTGCAAGAGGCTGAGAAGTTGCTGTTTTGAATAACCTCTGTTTCCTCATATACAAAATAAAGGTATTACCCTGTATGACTGCCTGACACAGTTACAAAACTCAGATTTACTACACACTATTCTGGATAGTTTGTTGTTGACTAGACATTACTGCCATTACTTTTAAGGTCTTCCTTGCATTGCAAAGGAAAAGAAATGAACATTTCCAGATTTCCCTTTGGAGGTCGTTGTAGGTACATAGTTGGGTAGAGGAAGCAGCTTCCAGGTGGGTAGTTTCTTGATAACCACTCATCTGTTGCTACAAACCTAGAGAGTTCTTAAGGTTTCCAGTGACTTCTGAGACATCAACCAGCTTCCTGCTTCAGCCTGAAATAATCAGTGACAGCTTACCTAATGCCCTGAACCCTTCCAAAAACTACATAAGCCTTGAACTCCCTGTGTTAAAATCCTATTGCTTGGAATTCACTAGCTTCTGTTTTCTTAATCAAACTCTGATTACCGGTAACTGATTCTGAGCATGTAAAAATACCCTCTAAACGGAAAAAAACAAACAAAAGCATGGATTATTATTTCTATTCCCACTGATAGGAAATTTCAACTGAAGCTGTTTTCTGGTAATCAGCCTCCTTTTAGACAAATCAATACATCCAAAATAAAGCTTTCCTTCAACAAATCAATAAAACTTTTCCTTACTACAAAAACCAGCTCTCCACCTAACTTCATTTCTCAAATTAATGAGCCAATCAATCAAGGCATGTTTACTAAGCAAGGCATTATGCTAGGTACCAAGAGATTCCCCATGTAAGTTTATAATATATGAGCATAACAAAGATACAATATGCATAATATAACTGTCACATATCAGGAGCCATATTTATGGTGGGTAAGAGAAAGAATGGATTAAATTTGACTTGGGAGTAAAAAAGTAAAAATCAAAAAAGGATTCAATGAAGAAGAAAACTAAAGAGTGAAAAGGTAAAAATCAGAAGGATTTAAAGAAGAGAATTAAAGGTAGTAAGTAACTGAAGAAAAGCATGTTCAACAAAACAAAGCTAACAACTCAGGGATATGTATGGAGAACAAAGGCAAAGGAAATACAGAGCGGCTGATTCCTGAAGTGTATACTAAGGAGAGAAGGCTGAGTCCAAATAACACAAGGTCAGAAACGCTAAACATCTGGACTTTATTACCATTATCCAACTTCAGATTCATAGAGAGATTTATAAAACTTTATGCCTAGATAATAAACTCAGGCTGCTAATACACCCCCATGACTAGAACCTAAAAGTACAAGATCTAAACTGAGAAAAGAAGCTGATCTTACTAAATGCCTGTTTTTATTCTAATGCTCTTCTGCTCAAAAACTTTCAGTAACTTCTGAATGCCTGCTTTTATCAAGTCCTTCATACCATGGTCCCCATCGTATTCAACCAATTTTCAAACATTGCCCAAAATACACAGCTCTTTCCAGTTACATTATTTTCTGTATTATTGGCCTTTGAGGACAGCTAGAAACATAGATCTCTCTCTCCTCCCCCCCTTCTACTAAAGCCACCAGCCCCACTGGATTAGAGCCCGACCCTACGACCTCGTTTAACCCTAATTACCTCCATAAAGGCCCTTTCTCCAAATATAGTTATATTGGTTATTGGAGCTACAACGTACAAGTTTAGGGAGGGACACAAACATTTAATTCATATTACACAGGGTTATTTCTGAGGCTAGACCTTAAAGAGATCTTGCAGCTTTTGCTCTTGCTAGTATCTCTTGAAATACTTCCTCCATCATGTGAAAAAGCCCAGCCTACTGGAGGATGAGGAGCCACAGGAGAACTAAAGCACCCCAGACAATAACCAACAGCCAGCACCAAATGGTAGAGTGAGGCCACATTGGACCCACTAGTTCCAGTCAAGCTATCAGATAACTAGAGAAGTGACCCAAATGAGAACAGCAAAAGAACTGTCAGCTGAGCTCAGTCAAAATTGTAAAATCATGAGAAAATAAGTGATTGTTGCTTTAAGTCACTAAATTTGGGAATTGTGTGTTACAAAGCAATAAATATCTGATATGGCATACCTTCTTGTTCTGCTTTTTGACCTAGATCTCTGAACTCTATAGGATTTCCCTCGACCCCTTGAACGGCTTCGACTTCGTTTTCTTCTAGAACCATAAGAAGAGCTACTACTTGATCGATGTCTGCGTCTGAAATAAAATGTAATCAAATATCATTGCTATAAAAAAAAGTGTATGATCATTAAGGAGAAATCATCTAAATTCTAAAAAATGTCTCATTTTTACTGTGTTACACCTTCCTAAAAGCCAAAAGAGGCAAAATGTTATTCCTCTTTAACAGATGATTGACCACATAATTTAGTGTCTGACTCAGCTACAAATTAAGACATTAAGGGGTGTTCAGTAGTATATAATCTATACAAATATTATGAGATAATATTGTAGGATATAAATACTATACTAGTAGACAATATATGAGTAGAACTATATACTAGTAAAACTATGTCTACTATTCTACAAAGACTAGCAGAACTATACTTCGTCTACAAAGAATAGATGAAGGAGAAAAACACTGAATCCATGGGCTGGGCCTGGGGGGAAAAAAAGCACCCTGGGTTGGGACTTAACCCTCAAAAATATTTAACTACTAAAAGAAAAAGGTTTTACCCAGGAAAATTAAAAGTACAAAAATATATGAACTCTAAATTAGAGAATTTCATCTCATCACTAAGTAAGTAAAAATTATGAAAATCACCTTCTTTCATAAGAATGTGAGCGAGGTAGAAGATCTCTGGACCAAGATCTAGACTTTGACCTTGATTTCCTTCCGCCTTTCCTTCGGCTATAGGTTCTACTATCTGAAGAACTACTTGAAGATGACCGTCTACGGTGTTTCTTTTTTCTCTTGTTTCTGCTTTCTTCTTCGGTATCTGATGAACGGCGTCCCATTTCTACAAGTTTAAATTCAAAGCAAATTATTACCAACATATGGCACCATGGATGAAATTAAATATAGTAATTTTTTAAACTTTATAAAAATTTTTAAAATCTTAAAGTAGAATTTTACATGTACCTGGCTTCTTGACAAGAATATAAGAAACCACTCTATTATAGTCTTCTAGGATTATCATTAACTGTTTTTATAATTTATGAACAACTTAAATTGGTCCAAAATTTTTTCAAGTGTCTCTCAAAGGAATCAATCCTGAGGACAGCTCATTATAACAATTTTCTCATACTTTAAGATGTTTTAATCATTAATTATACAATATTTTCTCTTGGGATCAACTACCTAATCGTTCATTTAAACATTCCCTAAAGATAAAATATATTTTACTATCTTTTAGAATTACATTTTTGTAATTGAAAATTCTAAATTTTTAGATGGATAAAAATTCATTAATCATCAAAGTACAAAATGAAATAATATATTATCATTTAACTTGTGAAATTTAGGGAGGAAATGTTAAGTACCAAAGTTGATGAGGTTACTGTGATGTGAGTAAACTCTTCATACTGCTAGTACCTATATAAAGTGTGGGCATAATCCTTCTGGAAAGCAATTAACAATTTACATAAAGAGTCATAAAAAATGTTGGTGCTTTTTTGACAAAGCAATTCTACTTTTAGTAATATATCTCAAAAGTTTTTCTTAAAAGAAAAAAGACAATCATGAAGACATTCATTATTCCACTATTAAAACTATATCTGTAAAGACTACAATTAAAAAAAAAATGTACATATGAGTAAGAGCAAAAATAAAAATCGAAAATATTTAAGTGATGAAACTGGGAAATATTTTTATAACTATTTTCTATATGGCTATGATAATATCTGTACATTTAGTACACAAAAAGAAAAAACATACAGAAATAAACTTAAGGTTTTTATATCTATGAATTAGCTAATAAGAAACTTACTCATCTTACTTTAAAGTCATCCTTTAGATTCTTATATGCAATTTTTTTTTTTCACTGACACAGTTATTATCTTTCAATTACATGTAAAAGCAAGATCCATTCTATGTAGTGGTTAAGAGTAAGCGGTTAAAGAAAGGATCAGATTAACAAAAATCTCTCACTTTCCTTTACTATTTATTCGAAATAAGTTAAATACCATTACTAAATTACAGTTGTAATTTAACATATTGTATTTTCAGAACTGTCTGGTGAACTTTCCCCTCCCTGACTTCAACTAAAAACTGCTGTTATGATTCAATTCAAAACTTTGTTATTTACCTACAGCCAGAATTAGACTTTTAATATAGTTCTGAACTTCCAAGATGTTCACATTCCTAACATTTTACAGTTCAACGAAACTTTGGGAAGGGCTGATTTCAAAACTTTCAGCAAATCACTAGCATATCTAACCCAGTTTCCTCACTGGAAAATGAAACCACTGAATAAAAAGATCAGCATGATCCTTTCTAGCTTCAAAGTGCTGTTATTATGAAATTATACTTATGCAGAGTGTATACATATATACACACAAACGTATTTAAACATACTTATTTAATACGCACATGGGTATCCACATATCCATTATACATAACTGTTGGAGTATGTGTGTGTGTATTTATTTTCATTAAGGAATCTGTACGTAATTGAGTAATAATGATCATCTAAGTGTTATTTCCTGGCTTTTTCTTCCATTCTTGTTTTCACTTTTAAGCAGTTAAAAATTTTCTTACCCATACATAACCATTAAACATGAGCTTTTATGTTCTCATTATCTTGATAAAAATATGAATGAGAATATAAGCATAAATAGTATAATTTCACAAGGATACAGAGACTAGGGAAGACAGCAGAAACAGTAGACAAGATTCGTCAACAAATGTTTAGCAAATGAAAAACAGATGGAGAACTTAGAGCTAAGAGAGCTGAATATCAAGCAACTGCAGAGAATTTCAACACGAGAAAAGCCAATTTACATCGCAAAAATCAGAAAGGATAAGAAATTAAAATACCAGTTACCACAGCAGGCACAATGAGGCATGGAACTAAAGAACAAGGGAACTGGTTGAAAGTCTATAAAAGATGCAATCTCCCAGGCCCCTTTCCCCCATTGAACCCAGACAAGTGAATACTCATCCCCAAATTCAGGAGAGGTGATTTATTTTGGGAAAAAGACAAAACAACAAAGCACCAGGTCTCAGGACATAGTAAAAGAGGGCAGAGAGGCTAAATTAAAAGTTAAAGGAATTACATCAAAGTCTACAACTAATGATAAATACTGTAGCTCTCTGCGTGCTTAGATCCAAGATTTCTGGCAGGGGATTCATCTATGCAAAAACTGAACAGTACCCGAAAAACATGTATTTCAATGTTCTCCCCCCCAAAACAGCCAAGCCCTCACCCAATCACCCTATAAATACCCCGCCAGCTTATAAGCTCACACAAACTTTTTTCTGTACACTATTTTTCTCTAAACTTTTTAGTGATTATACAAAAAAGGATAACCAATCACTCAATGAAAGCCTTCATCACAGGAGACAGAAACCAAAACAGAAAGAAAGAAACTTGTAGCAAGCCAGGAACATGCCGAGGAAGGCTTTAAGGAAAAAAATCAGTTAATTTTCTCAAAAACATACAAGTAGATGATCCAGCAGGAGGAACATCCATAGAACAGGAGAAAAGATTTGGAATTTAAATAAATGATAATTTGTAAAAAAAATACAATAGGATCAGAGGTTAAGTTCAAATGACTCAAAGTATATAGTAAGAAAAAGATTTAAAATAGAAGGTAAAATCCCTGGGACAATGAATTTAAGAAGACATACACCAGGCATATCTCACAGAAATTCAGATACCAGGGATATATAGAAGATTCCAGAAACTTCTAAAGAGAAAAATATGGGGAAATCACAACAAAAGGCATTGAACTTCTAAACAGCGAAATAGAAAAACAATGACAATTTGCCTTCAAAATTCTAAGTGAAAATGCTTCTCAACCTAGAATCTAGAAACAGCCCAATCATATATGAGATCAGAATAAAGACATTTCCAGATATTCAGAGTCTCAAAATTATACCTCACACTCCACAAAAAAGCAAATAGTAAACCAACAAAGATAAGCCAGATTCACCCCAGGATGATGGCCAGCCTAGGTACAAGGGATAGATCAGTGAACAAGACAAAAATCCTTGCCATCAAGAAGTTTACATGCTAGTGTAACAGCAGTTCTCAAAATGGGATCAGTAGACCCCTGAAGATCCCTAGGCCCTTTCAGGGGATCCAAGGGGCCAAAACTATTCTCAATATAATGCTTCAATATGATTTGCTTTTTCAGTTTTGACTTTTGTACTGATGATGTAAAAGCAATAGTAGGCAAAACTGTTGGTGTCTTAATAGGAATTAAGGCTATGGCACCAAACTGTACTAGCAGTCATTGCATTCTTCACAGCAATTGTCTAAAAAAAAAGGGTGGAGCGGGGCGGGGGAGTTCTCTTGTTCACTTAAGAATGTCCTTGATAAAGCAGTAAAAATCATTAATTTTATTAAATTTCAACCCTTGAGCACACATTTTTTAATGTTCTGTGATAAAAATGGGAAATACACATAACTGCTTCTGCTTACTGAGGAATGACGGTTATCTTGAGAAAAGGCAACATGCAACTGAATCGCGAGTTGAACTAGCTGCTTTTATCATGTAATACAATTTTTATTTTAATGAACTATGATTACTCAGAGTTGTGTATTTGGTAGACATTTTCTCAAAATGAATGGAGTCTTTCACTCACTTCAAGGAAAACTGACATTATTTGTTGCCAATGATAAAATTTCAGCTCTCAAACCAAAATTAGAATTTTGGATAACTTGTATCCACTACCCATGAGACTGATAGCTTTCCAGTACTTAAAAGATTTTTCTGATGAAATCAGTGGTGATACTAACAAATGTGATTTTTAAAATATTTTATAATGAAGGGTATCAATATTTGGAAGATATGCATAACTCAACGAGCCAGTGTGTTCCAGTCAATGCATGTCACAGAATCATATATGGGTAAAAAATCCATTCACAGTGCAAGACAAACTTACGATTTTAATGTAACAGAATATGAAAAGGTCACTGATATGGTTTCAAACACCACATTACAAGCAACCTTTAACAAACTATTACTTGTCAAGTTTTGGTGTAATATCAAAGAATTATCTGAAAAGGCTATTAAAATATTCCTTCCTGAAACTAATATAATATTGTGTTAAATATACCTAATAAAAAAAATACTCTTCCACCCCAATCGGTTCAATTCGTGGTCAGAGTGCCTTCCTAGGCTGCAGTCCTGGTCCCCAAGTGGGGGAATGTAAAAGGCAACCGATCAGTGTTTCTCTCTCACATCTACGTTTCTCTCCTTCTATTTCTCCCTCCCTTCCCCGTAAATAAAATCTTTTAAAAAATACTTTTCTAATACTGTATATGTGTGACTACAAATTTTCTTCATATACCTCAATCAATACAACTCATTACAATAGACTGAATGCAGAAGCAGGTAAAAGAATGCAATTGTCTTCTATTAAGCCAGACATTTAGAGATTTGCCAAAATGGAAAATAATGCCAATTTTTTAACTAAGAATGTTTTGTTTTGAAAAAGTTATTTTTCATATCAAATTTGTTATTTGTGTTACCATATAATGGGTTTATTATTATTTTTTAAGTGAATTAATATCTCAAAATTTTGTTTTAATTAATGCTAAGCCAATATTTATAGATATAGCCCATACAGGTAAAAGTTCTTGCAGTCCTCAATATTTTTAAGAATGTAAAGAGACCCTAAACTAAAAAGTTTGAGAACCACTGCTCTCAGGTAGCTGTAGTTGTGTCCATTCTCCATTCTTGTCCAGCTTATTAAATCCTTAGGGAAGACATAAATAAGTAGGAAAAAAAGAAATGAACACATATCTAATTATGTATCTTGTTGGTGACCAATAAAAGAGAGAATGGGGGGCGCTGGTACAAATTTTTCTTTGTTTTCATTTCAAACATAATTCATCCATAATAGATGATTACATTTAACCCAGAAGAGTTAGTGGGAGATACGAAGTCCTTCCTTACAGGAGCCAAATTTAAAAAAGGCTGAAAAACCACTGTCACAAAACTATAAATATTTTTAAGTGAGTTGGCTTACTTACTTTGCGTAAGTAAGACAATGCAAAAAGCCACCATATTTCCGTATTATAGTTAACTTCAAATATTTTCAGAAAAGGAAGCAAACACTAAGAGCAAATCAGAAGTAGATCCAAAAATTGTCTTCTTTATCATTGACAGGTACTGAACTCTGTCTTATTCATTACCCTAGATATGCTTGTACACTTACCTCTGGATGTCCATAATGTTCCTAGCATGTAGATGAACACAGTTGCTCATTCAAGTCATAGTGGTCAATTTATACTTCACACTCCTACTAGGAAAGAACTCTTTATATTTAACTCCTCTGGTAAGGTGCAATGCATGGAAAGACACATTAACAGCTCTTTCTGTTAACGGCAATGATGATTGAGCACCGATTTTTAGGAACACCACAGGCTAACAATTTTTCAATCAATCTGTAAGCAGAAAAGACATTGGGACAGAACTCCTACAGCTCTTGGTTTTCTGTTCTCACTCTAGCCTCTAGTATGTCCTGGTTTAGTCTCATGGTTACAAACCTTACTCAACTACTTCTACTACAGAACTGAAGCCAAGTACAGGTAATGACTACAGTAAGACATTAATTAATTTACAAAAACATCTTACTGCAAAGTTTAGGTGACTGGTGGAAGATGTGGAGCCAAGATGTGGTCATCCAAAAGAGAGCTCAAAGGCATACATAAGTAGTCCCTTTGTCCAGTTATTAATAGAGGTACAAGAAACAGTAATCTTTTTCACAAAACATGCAGTTAAAGAGAACAAAGATTCCTAGAGGCCATGACAGTTTGTAATTATTTCTCCACTACACGTTTAGTATATCAAACTATAACTGTTTTTTTTTTTTAAATCTTGGACACATAGCCGAAAAAAAGGAAAAAGAACAGTCATTTCAATGGATAATACACCTCAAAGAGATGGAGAAAAGTAAAAATGGGGTTAATACCATTTAGCGTAAGATATCTACAAATAAGTGTAAAACCATGCAAAGTCAGTAAAAGAGCTGAGGTAAAATTTTGGCCTAACAGCTCTGGCTGGTGTGGCTCAGTGGACTGAGCACCAGCCTGTGAACCAAAGGGTTGCAGGTTAGGTTCTCCGTGCAGGGCACATGCCTGGGTTGCTGGCTAGATCCCCAGAAGGGGCGAACGAAAAGGAACCACACACTGGTGTTTCTCTCCCACTTTCTCCCTCCCTTCCCCCTCTCTAAAAATAAATAAAATCTTTTTTAAAAAATTTTTTAAAAATTTTTTAACCTAACAAGCAGAACAAAGCAAAACTCAAAAAAGACAGTTGTCAAAACACTCCTCCCATAACAACGAAAAACTTAAAAGACTAATGCTTAAAAGTCCCATGACCATTAAGCATTTGAAAATGAAAGCAGAAAAAATATCTGTACATCTAATATAACAATCTTACTACTGTTTTCCAACTCATTACACAACTTTTCCTGAGATGATCAAGTTAGTAAGGCAATTAACAGGTGCCAGCTGCCTTGATGTTCTTCAAACATTTTTAGCCCTCTTATTGAACATACAGTAATAAAGTGCTACCACTTAGCAAGAAATATTTGCCTGCAAAGAAAGTGAATATTTATAAACTCTAAGACCAGAGGGGCTCTCAAAAGATACCCAGTTTCCCAACAAGGTAGCAGCTGTAACACTTATCCCAGACTTACTGAGAACTCTGCGTATCTCCTTCACTTAGAGCTTCTATGTCTAAGTGCAAAGATGACACCTTGAATTCTTTTTTTGTGACAACAAAAGACATTTGAATTTATTTAACTACCTAGGATGTGTTTGGTTGATTTACAAATAGGTTACTAATCCTGACAATGCAAAAAAAAAGAAAATCATTAGGCTTTCTGTGTGCTTTTAAAGAAATATAATCTCTGAAGGAGAAATTAACTGAAAATTTACCTAAAATCAAGAGCAGGCAACTGTGTAACAATGCATTAGAACCTCTCACCAAAGTAAACAGAGTTTAAGGGTAGCCATGTGCTCTTGGTCTAAGCCCACAAGGCCACCAGTCCTGAATCAAGGAAACAGTGCTTACAGCGAGTCTGCCCGTTAAGGAAGGAAAGTCTATTTCACCTTGCACCGTCTCTCCTTTCAGCGAGCCAGTGTGAGCAAGAAATAATGGTTGGGCGGGGGCAGGGGGGCGGGTTGGAAGGAAAAGTGTATCTACAGCAAAGACAGCAGAGTGGGTGGGGCAGGGTGCACCGTACTGCGATCTCTTTCCCAGCACCTTACCTAGGGCTAAAAGCAACCCGACACTTGCTGCAAGACCCGCCCAATGGCCCCAAAGCAGCGATCAATAGGGGTGGGGTGGGTTAGGGGAAGAACGGGAAAGGGGAAGAAGAGTAGGCTAACTCTCTCACCGCCTCCAGACCGAGGGCTTAGCCAGAGGCCTGCGACCTCGCACCAATCTAAAGCCGACCACCACCCCAAAGGCCCCAGCTTCGACCTCGAGGGTCGGAAAACTCCAGGTGCGAGACGCATGCGCACTGCGCTGCTCCGCACGCCTCGGGACCACCGCCCACAGCCCCCCTCCCCGACCCCGCCACCTCCCAGACACAGCGTGAGGCCCCGCGCCGTCTTACGCTACAGCAGGCCTTGGGAACACCGCAGCCGCCGGCGCCCCCTCCCAGGCCCCGGACGGGGGGATCACCTGGCTCCCTGCCTTTGGGATCACACCTCCCCTTGGCTTGCAAGCGCCACAAACCTGCAAACGTTTCTTCAAATTGGGGTGCCGCTGGCGTCCTCCGAACTTGCTTCAGTTTAAGCTCACCGCCTTCCTGGTTCCAGCGCCAGGCAGCGTCAGCCGAGCTTTCGAATGCATCGATGGAGGCTGCCAGGCGTTAGGAGTGCCGAGGGAATAGATTGTCACGCCGCCAATTTTTTGTTTGGTGTTGCTTTTGCTTGCTTGTTTGATTATTTGATTTCCTTATGACCAAAAAGCAATAAAGGTGGAGACTGAAGAGTGTTATTGCCTTAGTAATCGTCGTTATCATCACAGATAATCAGTACACAAATCTGCATCGTAGGAAGTTATGTTTGAAACACCCACACGTAGCAAAATTGGTTATCTCAAGCTGGAGGAGGAGGAAACTCGCCCAACAATAATAAATCATGGGAGTGTGTCTGTATAGAGTCGTGTGTGATTAAAATGTAATGATTTATTTGCAAAAATGCATTAAAACTCGGTGTTTCTTCTGCCCTGAAGGTGAAGGCACTCACAGGTTGGATGCAAATTAATTTCTCACATTAAAGTAACTGGTTAGTAGAGGAGTGGGAGAAGGCTGCCCGAGGCAGGGAGAGGAGATTTCTTCTGAAAGAGAAATTGTTTAGGTTTTTGTTGTTATTTACACTAATAGAAATTAAAGCGATTCTGCATTTTCTGTAACTCATACTACATTATTTATCTGTTCTTGCATAAACACTATTTTTTCCTTATTTACTGTAAGTATGCAAAGATATGGAGGTTAAAAAAAACAACAACTGTTGGCCTTGGTTTTGACTTTGACTGTGAGATCCAATTCACAACTGCTGGATACCCAGGCTACAGTTTTCTGCAGATATTTGAGATGGTGAAAATCAGCTCTAGAAATATATGTCATAAATGACTGTACCTTGAATAATAAGTTTTGAGGGACGTTTTAAAACTTAACTACAACACTACATGTTTATTTTAAATAATTCAAGAACTGGCGGTACCCTTGGGGTCCTGAATTTTATTGGAACTTGTATATCTGTCCGCAGGCTGTCAACTGAGCTTTACTATCTTTTTTTATTTTTAACCAAAACTGCACTTTGGAATATCCTGTTTCCGGAAAACATGTACTATTTAACGAAACAACATAATTAGAACTTCATGAGCATTTATTAGCACACGATTTCAAAACCTTGTTATTGTTTTTAAAACCAGATTTCCCTTAGGCCAGTGGAATCCCTGGTCAGACACAGCAGATCTCTCATAACTCCATCTGATATCAACACCACTCTTGTAAATATACAAAGAGCCAATGTGCCAGGAAATTTTATCTGGTGTGAATCACAACAATTGTCTAAGCCTTCCTGATTACCTTTAAAATGGTCATCTTTCCCTCAAGCCCAGTAGATGGAATTTGATATTGGACTTAGAAGTCACGGCAAAAAAGTAACTGGGGAGTCTCTTGATCCCTTACCAGACTTCTGAAGTGGTTATTTGGAGCTGTTTGTGAATAGTATTTAACACCTCAGTTTGAGAGCTCTTTCTGTTCATTCTGCTAAGTAACATTAAAAACGGATTTTCATAAAGGATTAAATTTTTATGTTTCTTCCCCTCTGGTAATTTCAGAATGAAAGCAGTTACAAATAGTAACCCCAGATAAAGTAAAATCATGTTCCTAAATTCATATAACTTTGGAAAGTGTATTTGAGTCTCTTTTGCAGTGTAATAAAATAAAAGAAAGCACTCATATAATTCATTATACCTAAAAGCTATTGCACTGGAAATGTAAAGATTTTAATTATTTCTCCTAAGAGTAACAATAAGTGAAATGTTTTAAGAACAAAGGATAACTTCGGAAATAAAGAGGGGGAAGAAGACAAACTAGTATTTCCTAAAAATGTGATTTCCATCTTAAGTTTGCCAAAAGCAAACATTTTAATCTGAAGGGTAATGTAGAATGACAGTTATGTATAGCCTCCATTTACATATATTGTAGAAACATAATATATTAAGTTTTAATTGGGTTCTTTTATAAATGTTTCAGGTTGCTTTGATGGATCTTCTCAAATTATCTGTTAACTTCGTGCTGATGGCCTTACCAAGGGGTGGAAAATATACATATCAAAGTTATATAATTGCTTTTATTTTTACTGAGTAGTGTATTCAAGAAAATGAACAAGTTACCTTTAATGAACAGTTATCGTGTATTAACATTCAGATTACTTGAAAATGTCCCCAAAGTTACACTTGAAGAGGTATATTTGTTTACACACTCAAATAACTTTCCATAGGTAAATATTCTTACGTGAGATACGTATGTGGCCACACTTCTCACAGCAAGCTACACAATACAGACAAATGACTCAGGAATATAGACTTTCATGCTACATAAGTGTTTCCAATAAAACAGTCCAGGGAGAGAGTGAGATTCCTTTCTCCCCACGAGCATCTCTTTTTGAATAGTACACAATAAATAAAATTAAGAGGGGCACAAACTTAACCTAGATTTAAAAAAAAAAACTCAAAAAGGAATAATCACTTGCTTTCGAAATCAGGAAATCAACTATAGTATGTTTCCCGGGAGGCTAAAAAAGAGCTCCTGTAGTTGATTTTGGGAGGGGTCCAGATACAGGGAGTTACGGGGAAGATGGGAAGAGGGTCCTGAAACCTCAGAGAGGGAACGAAGTCTAACCGTCCTTATTAGGCGCTAAGGAAACACGTTAAAATGGAATCTGTCAGGGAACAGCTGCTCGGGAAATGTGTTCAATCGACCGGCCCTACGAGCGGGGTTGTCCGGAGAGGAGTCAGCCCGAGCTCCAGGATGCAAGTCGTGGGGTGAATCACAAATGCCCCAGGGCGGAGAGGTTGCTGAAGACCCAGGCTCCGCTCCGGCCGCGGTCCGGGAAGCCTCTCGCGGAGCGGCAGAGGACCCTGACTCTGGGCAGGTTGTGAAGCCAGGATGCCGATCTGCGAGGTGCAGGTGGGGCGAGGCTGGCGGCGGGGCTGAGAACTGCCATACCGGGTCAGGATACGGAACCGGGCTGCGGGGCGCCTGCCGCAGGCCAGGGACGCCGGGCAGCGAGCGGCCCCACGCAGCTCCGCGGCCCCGGACGCGGGGCGAGGATGTGGGATCTGCCGCGGCGTCGGGATCCTGGACTCACTCCAGGAGCCGCGCACTTGTCAGTTTCCTTTTGGCCACGCCCCGGCGGAGTAGGTCCAGCTCCCCGGTGTTTAACTAAGTCTTGACACCAACGCAAAATCCACGCCTAATTAAATTAATTAGGGATTCTTGTCAATCTAGGATTAATGGCCAAGTGCGCAGGCGGCCGAGGCAATCTGAAAACCCGGACGGCCTGGGACCTGCCTCCTCTGCCCGCCCCTTCTCGGCCCCCTCGCTGCCCTCCCACTCCAGACCCAGCTTGCTCTGACTGTGGCTTAATCAATCTCCATCTCTCTCTCTCCCTCTTCCTTTCTCTCTTACTCTCTCTTTTCCCCTCTCTCTCTCTCTCTCCTTCTGTCTCTCTCTCCTCCCTCTCCCTCCCCTCTCTCTCCCCCTCTCGTTCTCTCCCCCTAACCCCTACTTCTCCACCCCCATCCCCAGGTAGCGTCGCGGGTGCTTCCCAGGAAGGGGCTCCCTCCGAGTTGCGAAGGGAGGTAATTTACTCAGAACAAGGGGCCGCCTCGGCGAAGTATAAATAGTGAGACTTCAAGCGCAGCGTTGCTATCAGATCTGAACTCTCGGCAGGAAGAATTGTCAAAGATCTTAACATTGGACAAGCGCGCTCCGGCGGGGAAGCATCCGTTCATATTTCCCTCGGCCGGCCCCCGCCCCTTCCCTCTTCCTCCTCCTCCTCCTCCTCCTCCTCCTCCTCCCCTCCCCCCCACTCCTCCTCCTCCTCCTCCTCCTCCTCCTCTTCTTACTTCTTTTTCTCCTTCTACTTCTCTTTCTTCTTTCTTCTCTTCTTTTTCTTCTTTCTTCCTCCTCCTCCCTCTCCACCCCCACCCCCTGCCCCATTGATGTGTTATTATTGGGGGGGCTGGAGCAGTAAAAAAAGAAGAAGGAAAAAAAGAGCGGGGCTCGGCTGTGAGAGGTTGAGCGCGGGGCTGACGGACATCGGCGGCGATGGAAGAACTTACGGCATTCGTCTCCAAGTCTTTTGACCAGAAAGTGAAGGAGAAGAAAGAAGCGATCACCTACCGAGAGGTGCTTGAGAGCGGGCCGCTGCGCGGGGCCAAGGATCCGGCCGGCTGCGCGGAGCCGGGCCGCGACGACCGCAGCAGCCCGGCAGTCCGGGCGGCCGGCGGAGGCGGCGGCGCAGGAGGAGGCGGAGGCGGAGGCGGAGGAGGCGGAGGAGGTGCAGGAGGAGGAGGAGGAGCGGGCGGAGGAGCTGGAGGAGGGCGCTCTCCCGTCCGGGAGCTGGACATGGGCGCCGCCGAGAGGAGCAGGGAGCCGGGCAGCCCGAGGCTCACCGAGGGTAACGGCCTGACCCCCGGCCGCGGTTCCCCTTCCCGCCTTCCTGATTCCTTTTAGGCGGGAGAGGACCCCGAGGCCCCGCGGGCTGGGTGGCGGGGCGCGGAGAGGGCGCCTGGGTGCCAGTTTGGGAGCTGGAGTGTTGATGAAGGGGTGGGCGTCCGGCTGTGTGCACGGTCGTGGGTGGGGTCCGAGTGTCTGTGGGGAGGGGGGGGTGTGGGTTTGTGCGCGCCCTTCTCAGATGCGCCAGTTATTCCTAGTCCACCGAAAAGCATTTTTCACCGGCCGGAGGATGGGGCCTCAGCCCAGACGTCCCGCGGGCGTCCGGGGAAGTTCGCGGGCCCGGGGGCGGGCGGGGATGCTGGCAGCTGCCGGGCCAGGCGGCGGGATTATGATTAGCATCTAGCGCCGAGTTTGGGGGAACCCCTTTTCTAGGCCTGAGAAAGAGAGAGAGAGAGAGAATGTCACTCTACGGTCGCCTCTAGGTTTCGGGCCGCCTCTCAGAACGACCAGAACTCCGCGGAAGACCCTGGATCCCTAGATCTCAGGGGCCAAACTTCCCATTCTTTTTAAGCTACGACGGTAGAACGAGGCCAAAGCAGGCAAAGGTCCAGCCTATGTTGTTTATTTTGGGAGACTTGTTAGGCTCCTCATTTTGAAGGGGGGGAGTGTTTTAATATTTACACAAATCCGTCGCTGCTTCTCATCATTCAGTACTCGGGTTTTGTGCAGGGCAAGAGGGGGGGGATCCTTTGGTGCCAGCAAAGTGTTAGGAACCGGCTTCATCTAGATGGTGGAGCGTCCTGCACCAATTCAAAGGAGTTCAACAATAAAATTAATTTGGCACTTGGTCCCCGCAGTAACTGGTGTGCTGCCATATTTTTCCAATTAAGAAAATATGTGACATGCGTAGAATCACATATTTAAGCAAGCAATTAAGTTGTTTATAACACGGTCTGTTCCTGTTTAGGCCAATAAGTGGAAATCTGGGGGCAAAATAAAGATTATATTAAGTCTATTAATCAACTGGAAATGTGGACATCTTTCTCTTTGAAGTCCCAAAAGTTTGAGAGGTAGCCATTGTGGATGACACAAAATAGACAAAGCCTTCTCACCCCTTTGGCAGAATCTGAAGAGTGTGCGTTTTCATATATAAATTTCATTGCACTATGAGTGGAAAATATTTTATAACTTGGCAACGAATGTTTGCTATAATGTTATCCACTTCCTTCCCGGAGGAAGGACACATGTCCACAAAACGAACTCTGAGAAATAGAAATGCTGGCACCACTTAAAATCACCATTGTAAGAAAGGCAGTCTGAGCTGAGACCTAGAGGTTCTTCTTCCCCGAGACCCGGTACCAAGTCCCTCTAAATTTGGAAAGTGTTGGCATAGCTGCTGCCTGTCGGCTCCGTGCAACCTCCCGGAGCCTCAGTGAAGCCGCAGCTCCGGGCCCTGGGTACGCCAGCGAGCGAGACCGTGAAGTTAGGGTCTGAACCCAGGGTCGAGGCAGTCCTGGGATTGTTCATTTCCAAGCTCAGGGCAGGTATTAATTCCTCTGCAGGCCAGCTCTTCCGGAAATGATTTTTAACACCTATGCTGATAAGGAACCTGGGCTGGGAAAAACTGCAAGCAGCCTCGACTACCCCAACTCAGCTTTGACACATTAAAAACCCAAATCTCCGTCTCAGGCTCAGAGAATGAAGGTTCAGGAGGGCAGCTCATGTTAATACGGATCCCTGTATCACTGCCCCTTGGCATATATATATATATATATATATATATATATATATATATATATATCCATCCCTTGGGTGTCTCTGTGTGCTCACATTTGCAGAGCTCCTGTTTTTAAAGAGAGGAGAGGAAAGACAGGGAAGTAGCAACGGATGTGTGCAAACCCGGAGCAGAAAAATGCATATTTTATTAAACATCCGAGCTGGTGGATGCATGAAAAGGCTTTAAGCAACCAATAGAAACCGAGGATCGCGAATGTTCCTGTTGAACCTGTTGATCTCTGTGGGTTTAAGCGTTTAGGGTCCAGTCGGCCTTTTCAATGGGGAGAGACGAGGCGAGAACAGAGGCAGCGGTCAGTTCCTCGGGCCACCAGACGCTGGTTTTCTGCCTCTCACCTTCTGGTCCAGCATGGGCTGCGAACCCTCCCGGCTGACAACATGGCGTGGTCGCCTGTGCTCAGCGACCGGCTCCGGCAGGGGGGACAGGGACTGCCTGGCAGCCCCGTGGGCTGTCCGCGGGGTTTGGCCCGCGCCCTGGGTCCGCACCCAGCACCTGGGGATGCGACTCCCAGGAACGCACAGCACAAGGGTCTTATTCTCCTGCTGCGACCCTTTGGCCCAAATATTACCAAATTAGACCTGCAAGTTTGAGAGAGACAGAGAACCATCAGCGGACACAGCTGGACTGAGAATGGCCCGGCACTCTCTGAATGGCGCAGAGCGTGGCCTCACCGCGCCCTTCTCCCTTCTCGGACAGCGTTCGGTGACTGGCGGGGCGCAGCGCTTTTGATTTCTGTGCGTGCGTGGGAGAGAGTGAGTGGGCGAGAGGGTGAGTGAATTGGATTTGGTGTTCACAGGGGAGGGCAGGGAATCGTGGGGTGGATAGTGAGGTGAGCCGAGGCCACAGTTGCAGAGGGAATAGGTGGGCGAATGCCCATCTTGCCCGCAGGCGGCCACCCAGAGTTGATCTTCGCTTGTCTCCAGGATCCTCTTCCTCCTGGCCGGGTGAGGGACTGGACAGGAACTCCGGGAGGGAGCAGGATCCTCCAGCCTTCCTGAGACGAATCTGGTTAATGGGATTTGCTGTGGTGTTTTTATCTCTGTGTGTGTGTGTGTGTGTGTGTGTGTGTGTGTTGCTGTGTGCACGCGTGGACGTAAGTGTGACCCTGTTTATGGTGCCACCACCAGTGTCCCCGGAGCTGAAGGATCGCAAAGAGGATGCGAAAGGGATGGAGGACGAAGGTCAGACCAAAATCAAGCAGAGGCGAAGTCGAACCAATTTCACCCTAGAACAACTCAATGAACTGGAGAGGCTCTTTGATGAGACCCACTACCCGGATGCCTTCATGCGTGAAGAACTGAGCCAACGGCTGGGGCTGTCAGAGGCCCGAGTGCAGGTACCTGGCTATGGGGAGGTCCAGGCAGGGATCAGGGAAGGAGGAGGGGCACACCTGGGGTGGGATTGGAGAGCCGACTCTTGGGGGACACATCAGGGGTGCAGGTTCAAGGATCTGGAGTGAGGTGAGAAAGGAAAGGATGTCTTTAATCGAGGTCTTATTTTCCAAAGTGGATCTTAGTCTTAAACTGCCCCCCCCCCTTTTCCCCCTATCCCAACATATGTTCCCAGCAGAAGAAAGCTGTGCTGGGCTTGCTCCCAGAGTTTCTATAAACCACACCCCCCTCGCCTCACGATGCCTTTAATGTGGTTTAATCCTAATGGGCCTACTTTTATAAGCCTTAAAAAAAAATCCCACAGAAAACGTTTTATCTTCTGGATGCTTTAAAAGTTACAACGAATATTTTGTTCGCTGGAGTTGGGTTTCCTTGAGGGTCTGCTTTGGGGTCTAGGTTTGCCAAGCGGATATGCCAATTAGGTTTATAGATGTACAGACTATAAAGAAAATTAGCAACTGTTAAATGCAGAAATTTACAGTCCGCCGTTAGCAGTAGATCTCAAACTGTGTGTGAAACAGCGGAGAAATAAATGCATTTTGGTGGTTCTTTGTTCACTCATTTAACCAAAGCAGTGAACCTGATTCTACAGAAACTTGATTTTAAAACAATCCACAGATTAATGTTGACATTTTCAAGGTCTGACTCCCAGCAAGTGCCATACCCGTAAAGTTAGGATTGGAAGAGTGTTTTGGGTTTTGTTTTGTGTTTTTTTTTTTTGTATTGTTTGTTTGGTTTTTTACTGGTCATGATGGTGAATGTAATTGCAAAAGTAGGCTGTGGCAGTGGTAAAGGTGAAAAATTATATGCATACATGCATACGTATCCTAGGTATATGGAGAACAAATTTAAATGTTTCAGATTGCATTTCCTCTCAAATAATAAAATAGGAGAAAATGATGGTCATTATTTGTTTGAACACATGGAGCAGTTTTAGGCCTGAACATCTGCAGCTGTTACAAAGTATCACTGTAACAGATACTCCCTGGGTCTCTGGGCGCAGAGACCACCATCTGCAGCGAACTATGCAATTCTTATGGGGCTTCCCCGCATCTTGTAATAGGATCAGGACAAAAACAGAGCAGTGGAGTTGAAGGGGAAAAGTAATAATAGGCTGCCTTGGTCATCACAGCATCAACAGCGGAGCCTTCCTTTTTAAGCCTCTCCTGCTTTGCTTTGTGTATTGAGATCTCTAGAGGCTCAGCAACCCCTTAAAGACATGATGATAATTATTACAGTTATGAGCATTAGTATCTCAGTTCCAACTCTAGTAGGGAAAAAAAGAGGCAAGGAGCCTCAGGCCATGTGAGTTACACAAAGGATGCCACCCTGGCATGAAATCTACCCTTCTATTACACTAAATGGCAGGGGAATTTTTGAAGATTTACATTGACTATGACACTTCCTTTTAAAAACAAGACCGCTCAGAAGCAATATTTTTCTTTCATGTTTTTTTAAACATTAATTTGTCAATCAGTCAATATGCTATATTATTAGAGTAAAAAAGCTGCATTTGAATTTTTAAAAATATGTCATATTGCCTGTAAAAGTTGGCAAGTTTATGTAAGAAAGTAGTATCTGGGAGAAAATAGTAGCCAGGAGTCACTTGGCTCATACCCTGCCCTAACCCCCTTTCACAGAATACTCATTTTTTTTAACCATAAGAAGTGAATTTTATTGCTGGTCTTTATTTTTTCATACTTAAAAAAATTGAGCTATTTTCTGGATGCTTATCTACTATCCTAACTGCAAGAATAGGCTATTGCTTCTATTCTATAGAAGCAAATTAGATTATCATGATAATAGCACAATTATTCTGCTACTGTGTTACACTCTATTGCACAGAGGAACAGAGAAATTCTAAACTTCTTTGTAGTGAGGCTTTTATGACACTAATTACCGCTTCCCCCACTTTTATCCCCCTCCCCAAGCCCCCAGGAAAAAAAGAGTCACTATTTGCTTTGGTGTTTGGTTTTTCTTGAAGATGAAGCTAATTAATATAACAGGCTATTAATGAGCACATTCGTCTCAGGTCTTACTGGGCAAACATCTAAACTCATTATCACTTTGGTATCAGGTATCAGCGAGAGTTTTAGGCCTTGGGAACTCTGTAATGTGGAAAGGTGAAACCAGAACCAATAGCAGTGTATTGAGAAACTATTTATCTTGCAAAAATGTATGAACTATGTCTATTTTTGTCATTCATTTACATTTTTAACGTTGGAAATTGAGATTGTTCTATGAATTCAAAGATTGCTTGCCATATCTTCTATTTTGTGTCTAAAACTCTACTCTTTTTTCTTCATACTCTTGTAATGTTTAAAAAATTTTGAGTCATAACATCTAGGTTTTCTTTTTTCCCTCCAATTTGTAGGTTTGGTTCCAAAATCGAAGAGCTAAATGTAGAAAACAAGAAAATCAGCTCCATAAAGGTATGCTTCTCAGGCAATGAACATTTGATAATCTAAGTAAAAGGAGAATGGCAAGTATTGTTACTATACATACAGAGAAATCTTCTCAAAGATAACCATGGTCCTTACTTAAAAATCTGCTCTGAAGACAGTTAATGAGAGTCCTAAAATTTGGGAGTAAATTACATTTATTTTAATTATGGCAGTAGTTTAGGAAGATAACAGTTAATTTCCAAAGGAATTAGTTTTGTCTTGGTACCTTTTGGAACTCTGGAAAACAGTGCTAGGAATATTAATCTCACATTATTGTGTTTTGTTTCCCCCATTTTTTATAGGCGTCCTTATAGGGGCAGCCAGCCAGTTTGAAGCTTGTAGAGTTGCACCCTATGTCAACGTAGGTGCTTTAAGGATGCCATTTCAGCAGGCAAGTACAGCCCAGTTTCAACCTGTTCTTAACTGTAAAAAGACCTGGAGGTTTGCTTGAACTGTTGAACATCCCCTCTCTCTAAGCCCTAGTGTTGGTGTCCATGCAGTTGGAGGATCAATTTTGAGATGATATAGTGGACCTACTCCCCTTTAAAAACCTATCGAGTGTCAGGGGCCCATATGTCTAGTCCTTTCTGTCCTCGTGGGAAACCCACAGAGGCCTGAGGGCAGTAACCAGTCCTTTAAAAATGCACTAAAGATTGAGCTTGGGGAGAGGAAGGGAAAAGCCTTTTGATTAAGATTTTGTCAGATCCAATTCAGAGGTTAGTCCTGAGGTGTTTCTAAGGCAATTCTCTAAATATTTTTCTAGCTATTTTCTACCTCTTAGTTTCATTAACTGTGTCTGACAGAAGAAAAAGAAATAAATAAAAGTACTCCCAACTCAGACTTGATTTTTTAAAGCTGTCTGCAAGCAAAGCTTTATCTCTAGTTGAGAAGGAAACCTTGCCTTGGTCTTCCCAGGGATGCCCTGCCTCTGCAATGCCTTTCTTAGCCATGAAGAAACCTTTAAAACTACATTTAAAAGGACAGCCTGCAGCAATGATTTAATCCTGGGAAATCCCAGTGCTCTGAACTCCCTGCTCTCCAAGCCTAAGGGCACAATCCCTTCCCAACCAGTGCCTGACCTACCTCATCCTCAGCCAGGACCCCCTGCATGGTAGGACTGTGAAGTCATGGATTAGCTTTCTGTTGCCAGTGCCCTGGACTGAGGAGACACAGGGGTGTGCCAGTGTGTTGAGGGTTAGTGTGAGGGGGATCTTAGCTTTCTTGGCACCACAGGACTCTGGTATCTCGATGCTAGGCTTTTGAAGTCAGAAAGAATGATTGGCGAAAGAGAGGGGAGAGGGATCTTAAAAGGAGACCCTGACTTCTCAGAAGGTCATCTGCAGATCTGCAGCATCAGCAGCACCTGGGAGACTGGTAGAAATTCACAATCTCAGGCCCCAACCTAGACTTTCTGAATGGAAATCTGCATTTAAACAAGATCCCCAGAAAATTCTTACAGCAGTACAGGTTAGAAGTACTAACAATTGTGTTCATTGTAATGAAAGTGCAGTAACTTCCCTAAGTGACATACAAAGTTTTGTGTTTTGCTTGTTGGTATTTCAGGGCTTTAGCAGTGAGGTAAGATGTGGATGACAACATCAAGAGAGGAGGGTAACGGGGCCTCACCCCGTTTTGCCAACACACCGGTGTTATTGTGGGGAGGGCACTGTTTTAGCACGGTAGCAATGTGGCCCGCTGATGGGCCCAGATCCCTTAGGGGCAGCCATGTTCCTGCAGTTGCTGTCCCCCTGGGCCCAGGGAGATAAGCCACACTGGGTGAGTTGCAGAGACTCAGGGGCACTGGAGTATCCCTGTAGTGTCCGGATTCAGTAACAGAATGAGAAGGTCAGCCAAATGCCCCTTCCCGTTCCCCGCCCCAGCCTTCCCCTGAGCCAAGCTGGACTCCGTTAATGCTCTGTTTCTATTCTGTTGTCACCCTAGGATAGTCATTGCAACGTGACGCCCTTGTCCTTTCAGGTTCAGGCGCAGCTGCAGCTGGACAGCGCCGTAGCGCACGCGCACCACCACCTGCACCCGCACCTGGCCGCGCACGCGCCCTACATGATGTTCCCGGCGCCGCCCTTCGGACTGCCGCTGGCCACGCTGGCCGCGGACTCGGCCTCCGCCGCCTCCGTCGTGGCTGCCGCTGCCGCTGCCAAGACCACCAGCAAGAACTCCAGCATTGCGGATCTCAGACTGAAAGCCAAAAAGCACGCGGCCGCCCTGGGGCTGTGACGCCAGCGCCCACGTTGCGCCTCCAGCGCGCGTGCAGAATGCGCGCTCTCTGCGCCCCACTGCTTCTCTGTCATCCCCTCTGCACCTCGGAGCCCAGACTCTTTCTGCCTGGCTGATCGCCCCTTGCCCGCTTCAGCATCTCGGACTCGACTGGAACTCGGAGGGCGGGACTCTGCGCAGAAACTGCGATCCCACATGGCGCACCGACTCGGTGGCTTCTGACCATTCACCTACCCAAGGGCCTAGAAATCGGCTTTGTAGGGCCGGGTTTGGGAAAGTCGAGAGAGAGATTGGACAAGGGAGTGCCGGGACAGCGGAGTGTGGCTCGTGGCAAAGTTGCAACGATGGACTCTTGCGCAGAAATAAAAATCCTGTTAATAAAAAATGAAGAAAAAAAGTAGAAAAGACAAACAGAAAAAGAAAGGGAACTTATTTCTTATTGTTATTTGAAAGGAGCTGAAATCGGAGAGAGAACCAAGGAACAAAAAAATTAAAAATTAAAGTATTTTATGCATTCAAAAACATGGAAAAATAACCTGGACGAATCTCGAGAGAATTGGGGGGGGGGAGGTTGGGGAGTTACCACCTTAAAGTGTATGCCCCCCTCAATGGGCTAAGAAGGCAAAACAGAAGGAAGAAGTATACTTATTTAATGAGTTAAGATTTTTAAAAAAGTGCGGAGCTGGGAAATTCACAGGTTTTGAAACTGACCTTTTTCTGCGAAGTTCACTTTAATACGAGAAATTTGATAAGAGAGGCGGGCCTCCTTTTACGTTGAATCAGATGCTTTGAGTTAAAAACCATCACAAATGGAAGAGCAAGAAGAGGGAAGAGAGAATAAAAAACAAGGAAAAAATAATATTAATACAAAAGATGATACCACAGACAGTGATTTCTCTGAGAAATTATTATGGCAGAACTGTCCAGACTGCTGGCAGTAAATTCCGGTTTGCATGTTACTTGTATTCCATTGATGGTGTCTCCCCCTTCCCCGCTTTACACACATGTACTTACTTCATTTTCATCATCAGTATGAAAACCAGTACCAAAAGCGTCTGAAAATTGATGTATATCTCTCTCTATATATTTTTAGCCCGTCTTTGATCCTGGGGGACAAAAGAAAAAAGTCAAAAGGGAAAACTTTACACTTTGATTGTCCCAAGAAAACGGAGGTGGGCAGAAAATGTGGGGAAAGGAAAAAAGAAAACAAGAAGACTAAATGAAATAATGAAGGTACAGCGCCTCACAAGGTGCCTGACTCATAGCAGGCGCTCAGTGAGAGTCCCCTCCCCTCCCCCTTTTCTTGTATCCCTTCTTGCTGGTTATCTGAAGTCCTCGTTGAGAACCGGGCTCTATTTCCCCCTCTCTGTCCTGTCACACTCACTTTAAAGAACCACCCAGCTAGATACAGGCACTAGGTTTGTGTAAAATATGTTGATACACACGAACAAAGTTTATTTTGGCTATAATGTGTGAACTAATGGTTGACTTTGAACATTTGTGTTTTATCTCACAAAGGTGTATATTAAAGTAATTTTTTTGTTTGCTTCAATTCATGTAGCTGTTTAAAATGGGGTACCCTGGACTAAGCGATCTGTATCCCAGTTCTCTAGAAAGCCTCCTTAGTTGTTTTTTTTTTTCCTTCTAATTTACAAGAAAGAGGAAAAGCTCTTTTAACTGAACTTGGGTATGCGGTTGAGCTTTGTAACTATTTGTTCTCCATGAAAACAAATTATTTATATTTGCCATATTTTTTCTAGTGTATTAAGTTATTTTAAACAAAAGAAGATGCTGTTATTTCATGACGTGTTGTCGGTACAAAATGTTTCGGTTTCACCTCTGTTAAACCTTTTAAATAAGTGCCAAGTTATTAATTGAAGACACTTTGCGATCAATTGAATGAAAATAGTATTGTTTCATTTGATGGGGTTCGCGTCATCTTTGTTCCTGTTACTATTAAACTATCCGGGATAGTCTTTCCTTCTTCCTTTTTGGTGACTGTGTATCTGTCGATTATACCAACTTGGAAAAGCGCTTTCTTTTGCTCCTACATGTGGCAGTTAAGGGGCCATGAGAATAGTGCCTCTGTGGCTCTATATAGCGCTGAACGAAACTCCCCTCTCCCCCGTTTTACCCAGCCAGCATAGAAACCGGATTGATTTTTACATCAAATCAATAAAGGAACAGATAGTATGTAAAATAGAATAACCCCCTCCCCCTGGATGAACTCTCGTTCTTCATTTTGCCGCAGGTTGACCCTTGAAGTTTATTTACCGGATAATTTGGGTAGGTAGGGAAGCGGGATCACGCGGCGCGAAATTCACCTGGGTTAACTGTGGCTTAGTAGACACTCCGTCTCCAGGTCCCCGACCTTCCCAGGAGCCGGGTAGGCGATGATGCAGTGGGAGCGGAGCGAGAGCCGCGAAGTGGGGCGGAGGCACGGGGAAGGACCGATCCCCGGCCTCCTGCTACAGTGTAGCTACTGGACCGAAGCAGCTTCTTCGTTTGGTTAAATTTAGGAAAAGGTGGAAGCCAGGACCAGGACTGTGATCGGGAAAAGCCGGGTTTTAACCGTCCTCAAAACACCGAGGAGCCTTTCCGACCGTCCTCCGCTGGGCCCCCTCTCCCAGAAGAAACCCTTCTAGTGAAGCCCGAAGGCGGTGCCGGTTTGGGAATAGGTAGAGTCCGTGAGGACGCGGCCAGGGACCTCCCTTCCCGCGGGGGCTCTTGGAACGGCAGACACCCTCCGCGAAGATTGGGAGTGTCCCGAGTGTGCGTTGGGGCCCTCTTTGAGCCGCAGGACGCGCAGAGGAGGCCCCCACAACCTCCGACAGAACCCCGCGTCCTCTGGCCGAGCTCCCGCAGCCCCTACCCTGCCCTCTCCCGGATTGAGTTCACACTCAAAGCTATTCCTCGGCGTAGACGTGGGTGATATGTTCCTATTTATGTTTTTGCTTTCAAAGGTCATTGACCAGGACTTGGTACCTATTCAGTGGCCGGGCCTTGCGGGTCTCCCAGCAGACGAGCGTCCCTAGTTTTCATAATAAACATCTGCCTAGGGGCGGGGTGCGCTTTGAAGCGGCCCCGCCGGTCTGCCGGCCTGGGCACGGGGGCCTCAGGCGAGCTCCCGTCGGCACCCTGGCCGGGCGTCCGACCCCGCAGGCTCCAAGCCCAACGCTAAGCCAGCCCCTGATGCGGGATCGGACTTTCCCCGGGCGCTCAGAGGGAGGTCGGAGGTCAAGGGAGAACTTGGGGCTGGAGAGTTGATGGTTCTGTTCGGGACCCAGCCTTGGGCGCGGCCGACGCGCGGCCCAGCCTGTCCCCGCAGCTGAGCTCCCAGGGAAGCCTAAGGTCAAAGGAACCAGCGCGTCCAGGCCCTGACAGGCGAGGCGCAAGGCTCTAGGGAGGGGGCGCGGCAGCGCGGCCTAGGTCAGCTTGGAACGTTCCGGGCGGCAGGAGGCTGCAGGGCTGGGCGTGGAGCCCCAGAGGTTCGGGGCCCAGGCGGGAGCGCGGAAGGCCAGGGAACCCGCGCAGGCCAAGCCGGTGGAGAAAGGCCAAAGTTCCTTGGCCCGGGCCACCGAACTTGAGCCCGGCGCGGCCTGTGGGACGCGAGCGTCAGGGAAGCTCGTGGCGTTTTCGCCTCCTTCCACGGCAGCTCTGCGGAGACTCAGCGGCAGCGGAGGCTGCCTGTCCTGGCCCTTTCGGGCCGGATCCCTAGGGTTCAGACTTCCACACACGCGCAGGCAGGGGCGGCTTTCCTGGGGTGTCACGGCCCAAACTCTCCAGCAGGCACTGGGGCGTTCCAAACCCCGAGTTTCCAGAGGCATCTGAAAAGGGGTCCGAGGAAGTCTTCACTTTAAATTTAAATAAGGCCCAACATGCGTGTCGTTCGGGTCGAAACTCAATAACCGTAAAAAATAATTAATGAATTTTACACGTCCGCCCCTTCACCCCTGCAAAATCTTTCAGGGAGTGCAAAGCCTTCCCGAGCTACAGAATCCCTGATTGGGGAAAACTGCGCTAAAAGAGATTATTCAAGACACGAGTGTTAAGGAACCTATGATGCAAGTGGCCCAGTAAGATCAGAGGACTCTCTGCTTGAAGCTGGGCTGATAAATATATATTTTTGAGTTTTTTTTCCTTAGATTTATAACTTTTTAGATCCTCAGATGGTAATACTTTAGTATAATATAATGCTCAAATTTCGAAACTATTTTGATTTCTGAAAAATGCCTTTTTTGGCTTCAGTGACATGGGATCCTGGGTTTTTTTTCACAAATCAGTTTACATCATAAATTGCAAACATTTGCAATAAGATCTCAAGATCGTTTATTTTATGTAACCTCAAGCACTTGACAATGTTAAACACCAGTACAGAAAGTCTGTGAAATCAGTTTAATGTGTGTGAGGGAATTAAAGGATCACTCCTTTTCATCACATAAACAAAGCATTTAAGATTGTTTTGATTGTCAGTCTCCCAATTTTTAAACACTCTTAACAATTGACTATTAATTTTAGAGTCATTCTTTGCAAAAATAATTACTGAAGTTATATCCTGCTTTAATTAAATGTTTCTGGGCAGAATAAAATGGTATTCTACTTTGGGAAATGGGTGTTTGTTTTGTGTTATATTATTTTAAATTATTTTAGTTCAAATGTAAATAAAGTCTGCAAATTCCAGTGGAGGAAAAAGGTCTGAAATGGTTTCTTAATATGCCATTAGAACAGTTAGTCAAAGTGCATTAAAAGAATGTCACAAACCCAGAAATAATAAATATGTCATTCTAATGAGAGTGTTAACTTGTGGATAATTTATTCAAAGGTAGCTTTTACATTTCACATGGAATCTCTTATTATGACCTGCCTGAGTGCTGTGATGCTTGTTCCTCAAAATCTAATTTATATAGGCTTGGATATACATAATTCATAACTCGTGTTGATATATTTATACATATCCCAAATTTTAAACCTTTACAATATGTTTGCATGTTTACTTGCAA